AGACCAGAGGGGGCGTGGTTTTGTGTGCTGCCTGCATCTCGCGGATGGGGCTTTGTGCGGACCGGTTGCTGGCATGCCGCAGCCCGGCACTGGTCCATAGACCCGGGATTGTGGACCCCTGGTCTAGCAGAATGTTTCTAAACCTCATACTTGCTGAGGAATCTTGGGAATTGAAGTCTGCACATCTTAAATTGTTGAGGATGAGATATTCTGGTGTAGCATTATGTCTCCCAAATATTGTTAATGTTAACAATTTAAAAAGACAATACCGACAGTCACATGATCAAAATTTGGGCACTTGGCCACTGGCACCTATGTTTTCAGCATCCCAGGAACATCTGATCACCATCTACAACATGGTTCTCAACCTTTTTAATGCCGCGACCCCAACCAGTCGTAAGTCGAGGACTACTCAACTGGTGCAGCACCGTTTGCAGAATGGGACTTTTGGCGGGCTCAGCAAGGCAGAGACAGCCTGGACAATTCCTACTGACTTTTGAAAGCCAATAGAATTAGACTCTATTCAAGAGAGTCCATTCTATTGGCTTTCAAAAGCCAATAGAATAAAAGGGAGTAGCACAGCTAAGAAAAAGGGGGAAAAAATGGCGGACTGCGTTGTTTGGCGACCCCCGTGAAATGGTCATTCGACCCCAAATGGAGTCCCGACCCACAGGTTGAGAACCACTGATCTACAACCTTCCCCAGCAGACTTCCGATAAGCAAAGTCAATGGGAGAAGCTGGATTCATTTCACGAACGTATGATTCACCTAACAACTGTGGCATAAATGGTTGTAAGATCAGGCACAACTCATTTAACAACCACTATGGTTAGCAATGGAAATTCTAGTCCAAGTTGTGGTCTTAAGTCTATTTATGATTTTTATTTGCCAAGTCATTCGTTGAATGTGCATTTCTTCATGCTATTCCAGCCTTCTAGGAGTTGCTATACAGGTACAATAGGTCTACCAAATTGTTATGAATTTATTAATTTTGGGTTGTGTTTCCATAAAAGATGTTACTCATTCTTACCCTTATTATAAAATAGGCATGGCTACCTGAACCAGGGTGGCGCAGTGGTTAGAATGCAGCATTGCAGGCTAACTCACTGTTCACTGCCACCAGTTCAATTCTGACCAGCTCAAAGTTGATTCAGCCTTCCATCCTTCTGAGATCAGTAAAATGAGGACCCGGATTGTTGGGGTTAATATGTAAACTGCTTATAGAGGGCTGTAAAGCGATATATAAGTCTAAGTGCTATTGCTACCTGTATTGGAGTTACTGAAGAGTTAATGGGGATATCAGTACGAGAACGACCACAACCATGCAGTCAAAGTCCCAGCCTTCTTAACAGGTACCACAATTTTCCCAGTGAGAAGTAGTTCTAAAGCTTTATCCTAAAAAGGAGTATCGGTGAGAATATTTTGAGAACCCCTCAAAACATACGATTTTGGTTATAGGACTGAAGAAATAACTTCATGGCCAGCCTGGAAGTGCCTGGACTGATTTTTCTTCTCAGACAAGATAACTTGCATAATTTTTTGTTAGCTAAATACTAATAGTCAGTAAAAGCAATATATATGTACAGAAGATCTGTACATCTTCAACTCCTTCAATTTCCCTAATGAAATGCATCCAAAGAGAAGCAATTGGATGAACCAAGGGCTATACCTATATTGAAAAAGTACAGCCGCTGAATTAGAGTTGGTGCAAATGATTTTACCCATGCAATGTTGCAATGAGTAAGAATTCTAAATCAGATAGGGACAAAATTCCAGTTACATTAAGTGGCTCTTCTGGACCTCAAGTGGATACAGTGATGGCAGAAAGGTCATATCAACTCTCTCAGAGTTGGCTCCAAAATTTATCTTTGCTTGTTTGGTTATTTTTGATCTAGCTTTTCCCCTCTGCATCTGTATTGTTCTATTTGCAATTACAGGTAGTTTTCAACTGACTACCATCTGAAGTTATGATGGCACTGAAAAAAGTGACTTATGACCAGTCCTCACATTTACAGCCATCACAAAATCCCTGCACACATATGATCTTAATCAGCTTACATTTATTATGGTTGCAGTATCCTGAGGTTACCTAATTGCCATTTGTAACCTTCTCTTGACAGTAAAGTCAAAGGGGCAAGCCAGATTCACTTAACTGCTGTGATTCATTTAATGGCCACTGCAAAAAAGTACATAAAATCAGCGTAGTCATATGCCTCCCATATAGCTTAGCAGCAGATGTTCCAATCCTGGCTATGGTCATAAATTGAGGACTACCTGTATAAGGATGTTTTTTAAAGCACCGAATAGTGGCATTTTTTTTGTAGCCTAAGCCTTCAAACACTGTCTATAACTAGACTAACAAAAAAAAGGCTAAGATTCTTCCACGCAGTTGTGCTGAGAAAGGGAATGGTCCTATCAATCTGCAGACAATGCTTCTTCTTGATAGCATGAACAATAGACACATTTCAAAGCAGAGTGGTCTCCATTGTCATTCAAGGCCACAAAAAGAAAAAGGAAGAGATAGGCATATTACAAACAATAGAAAGAACAATTCTGGATGTTTTGATTTAGAGTTCTAGTTGTCTCCATGGATTTTTGAAATACTCTTTATGTCATAAAAAAAGGGTGAAGATGACGAGAATTGCACATACTTAGAAGTATTGTTTACAAATCAAGGGAAATAATCATTCCAGCTGTACTCCAAATTGGTCAAGCTGAGTCATTGCTTTTTAAACCATAGAAACTGAGGAAGTTAAAGAAGAACACCATAGAACAGGCAAATTGGACAAGTTTAATCTTGCAAAATACAGGTAGTTCTCAACTTATGACTGACTGAAGTTAAGACAGATGCAAAACTGGAGAAATATGGTTCAAATCCAAAGTTTCAATGGTCAGCCCCACCCCAGTGCATGGTCACATGACTCTACTTCAAGTACTCAGTAGCACAACCACATTTACAACTGTTGGAAGCGTCCTGTGATCATAGGATCATGTATTAGTTTTGCCAAAAACTGCTGTTACTTCCAGTTCATGGCAAAACCACATCATTGTGAATAATTGGTTCACTTAATGACCAAGTTTTTCACTCAACAATCACGGATTCACTTAATGTCCATGATGATTTGCTTAATGACTGCCACAAAAAAAAGTCAAAAAATTGAGTCGGTCACATTACCCAGGCTCCCAAACTCTTCAATTATCATTAATAGAAAATCAAAGGATCAAGTTGATAGCTCAAAGGATGGGCACAAAATGATAACTGTGGGAAAAGCTTACTACCATTTCAGATCAGGATTAGATTCTAGAACAATTTATCTTTGTGAGAGCTGTTAAGCCTAGAAGCCTTCCTAAACTAATTTCAAATAAAGCTTACAAAACTTCAATGGAGGGGAGGTGAAGAAAGCGAAGAGCAGGATCATAGCAGAGATTTCAGGTACATAATGGTCCTGGCTCCAGCTGTCAAGATAAATGAGAATATGAATGAAACAGAATTAGTGGGGTTTGCTCTGGTATTTATAAAAAACCGTCTGGATATATGTGTAAGAATAACAACAGAAAGAATAGAGATGGAAGGGACCTTGGAGGTCTTCTAGTCCAACCCCCTGCTCAGGCAGGAAACCCTATACCAATGGTTCTCAACCTGTGGGTCGAGACCCCATTCGGGATCAAACGACCATTTCATCGGGGTCGCCAAACAATGCAGTCCGCCATTTTTCCCCCCTTTCCTTAGCTGTGCTACTCCCTTTTATTCTATTGGCTTTTGAAAGCCAATAGAATAGACTCTCTTGAATAGTCTAATTCTATTGGCTTTCAAAAGCCAATAGGAATTGTCCAGGCTGTCTCTGCCCTGCTGAGCCCACCAAAAGTCCCATTCTGCAAACGGTGCTGCACCAGTTGAGTAGTCCTCGACTTACGACTGGTTGAGTAGTCCTCGACTTATGATCGGTTGGGGGGGGGGTCACGGCATTAAAAAGGTTGAGAACCACTGCCCTATACCATTTCAGACAAATAGCTGTCCAGTCTCTTCTTAAAAACTTCCAGTATTGGATCATTCACAGCTTCTGGAGGCAGGTTGTTTCACTGGTTAATTGTTCTAACTGTGCTTCTTTAAAGAATTGTAGAAAAATCCTATTTTCCCCTTTCCACATAACTTGAAGCACTATTTTGAAAATGAATCCAAAACATTGCATAGCTCCAAAGTTTAATTTATTCATTATTAGTATCAGTTATTGAAATGAAAATGTCTATTACCACTGATCATAACAGCAACCACAATTACTCAATATTTTTTATATACAACCCTTTAGCTAAGCATTAGTAATTGAAAATAGATGCTTTATGAGTTTGTGCTATTCTTCAAAAATAAGATTGAGAAAAGTTCCGACTATTCAAAGCACAGATTTCTTTAAAGCAGGAATGTCCAACCTGTGGGCCACATGCACCTTTGAACAGCTAGTAATGAGGCCCCACAAGATAATAAAGAGTCAAGCATAAGAATCAGGAGCCAGAGTGGTTCAAATGAATGCAGGTTTTTTGCATGCTAGTACCCTCTACAAAAATCTGAACTACTAACATTCAAAGCAAATTAGATAAGAGTTTATGGAAGTCAAGGAGGACTGGACTTAGATCTCCTGTGGGCACGAAAGGACTGGAGACTTATGATACATTTGACCCCTCCCTTGGGCTCAGCCTGGTTATCTCCTACTTAAACTTGTAACATTATTAGGTAATTTTAGCAATATTTATATACATTCACTATATTTTATACTTTATATGTGGGCTAAGACAATTCATTTAATGTGATCCAGGCAACCCAAAAGTTTAGTCATATCTTCTTTAAAATATATGTACAAGGAATAACACAAGCACTTACAATATAAAATACTAGCATTTTTAAAATCTGTGCACCTTTAATAAAATCAATTGTATTGATTAAAAATTTTGAACCACACTGATTTTTTTTAATCTACGACAAAAAATATTTCAAAGAAAAACCAGTCAAAAGAATATTCTTTTTTACTTGAGACAAAAAAACTATACATTATATGGTTCTCTTTGGAAAGTTTTAAATATATCTTCTATCCCATTGTCTTCATAGCATTTTATTCACAATGTCCAAGGCAGCTTCACAGAGCAGTCTGAAAAATAAGAATAGTGAAAAAACTTTATAAGGTATGAATGACAGTAAGTACACTTATTCCTCATTAGCTATAATAACTACTGACACAGAATTATCGCCAAGAAGTAATTACTTTATTGTGCCATTATTAGCAATAAGTATAAGGCTTATATCTCCTGTTCCTAATTATGGATTTCATCCATTTGTAAGAGCAGGTGAAAAAACTATTGTGAAGAGATGGGAGTTGTTGTGTGCATGCCATAAGCAGAAGCTCTGTCCATGAAACCTATTTCACACTGCATCTCCAGATAAATGTCACTGTCTGTATGCAATGATCAACATAAAACAGCCCCTAAATCAGGCATGTCAAACTCGTGTCACATGACATCGCATAATGTATCGTGACTTTTTCCCCCATTGCCGGCAATGGGGTGGGCGCGATTTCAATATAGTGCATCTGGCCTGTGGGCTGGCAGTTTGATAAGCCTGCTCTAAACAGATATTGGTTGACCTTGGTGGATCCAAAGTCGCCAAGGGATTTCAAACTTCTTACAACATTGAAATAATGGCTGAGCTCACAAATGCTAAGCAAGGATTCTTAAAAATATTCCTGATTGGCTCAGTCACTCAGTCAGTTTTAAACTGCAAATCAGTGTGTGAGTTCACGTTTCCAATTAAATCAAAGTGGAAGAACATGGCAGATTAATCTGGTCTTCCCAACTTGTGGAAACAGAACTGCCAGAATTCTCCATCCAACATGGCCATTGCTGAGATTCCTAGGAGTTCACAAATGTAGAAAAAGCTCAGATGTGGGACAGCTAGCTTGTTATTTGTATTAACAAGTCATTGACTGTACTGAGCTACCACGCTGAACTGGGTTTTAACATAATGAAAAGAAAACATTTCTTTTTTCTTCTCTAATGCAGCAAAAGGAGGTGAATTTTTTTCCATGAACAGAAACATAGTTTATTAAAAGGAATTATATGCTTCACATGCATTTAATCATATATACTGCTCAGTTTCTAGATGAAAACTCAGTATCAGTCTGCCAATTTAGAATCAGCAAATGAATTTTAAAAAAAAATTATTTTTTTTAAATTTTTTTTAAAAATTCATCCCTTATTTTTCAAATAAGATAAGTGAATTCAAAAAATACGGTTGTTGTTATTGCACATAAAACCAATGATACTAAGCTATGAACACTACTGCCTCATTTTAACAGTACAGAAACCATGCATTATCCCCAACCCAGTACAAATAAGTATATAAAATAGAGCATTAAAGAAACATAATCCCTTGAAATTACCTTTCCGTGCCTTCTTTGGTCATTTCGCTGTGCATCATTATTTTTTTCTGAAGAATAGCTGCAATGGCATTCATATAGGAAGGTTTTTGTTTACCTGTGAAAAATGCATGATGATGTTGAAGATTTTTGAGTCTTATTGGAAAAGAAAAATATGTTTGTTCTCTATTGCAGATTAAAAATTCAAGATTTCTCTTCTTCTCAAATAGCAATATGTTCTAAATCTATTACTGGTAGTCTTCAACTTACAACAGGTTGCAACCAATCTGCTTTATGCCCATTTGCAGCAACCCACAGTTATGTGACTGAAATTTATATTTTTACTGGAAACCAGCATTAATTTAGATTTTTACCCCGTCTTTTTTACTTCACAGTATAATTAACCAAGACAGCAAACATACATAATACTTCTTCTTCCTCTTATTACTTTAAGTTTCCAGCAAAAATCGCCCCATAATGAACAATGAGTTCACTTTACAACCACCATGCTCAATGACTGCTGCATGTGCATGGTCATATGATGACCCATTTTACAACCATCAGAACTTAAAACTGAAATTGCATTTTCAATTACAGTAATAAATCGAGGATTATCTATATGTGTTTCAGAAGAGTGAAGGTTCATTTCATTGTCTATCAATGCTTATACAAATATTTTGTATACTTTTCTTAAAGACTATGTGCCTAATCTTTCTGCAGCATGTCCCAGTCCACTTAGGTGTTCATTTTGCCAAATAATTTGGAATATGTAGCAAATCTCGTTATTTCACCCAAAGGGATATCATTTAAAATGAATGCTACCGATCCTATTCAGAGCCTAGTGCAGTGGTGGTGAACCTGTGGCACGCGTGCCAGAGTTGGCACTCAAAACCCTCTCTGTGGGCACACGTGCCACTACTGTCAGCAGCTTGCGCAGGTCCATTAGGCCGCCACTGCCACCCGGAGCAGCAGCACCACCCAGCACAAAGGAAGTGAAGTGGCCAGCTAGCAAGCTTGAGTAGAGGTGATAGAGCACGCCCACGCCCAGCAAACCAAAGGCCACCCTGAGAAGGGAAAGCCAGATCCCCATTAGCGCCATGGCCCCCCAGTCCCAGCTAGGATTGTGTGCCTCCCCCCATCTATACTGGGCCTCCTACCCACCGCCCCACCTGCCAGAGACCCCCCTGAATCTCTCCCGACCCTGCCCGGCCCCTACAGGCATCCCCCCATGCCCACCCCAGCACGCCCATCCAGTCTGCCGTGACAACCGCAGCCATGCCTACCCAGTGAGCCATGCCCCTATGCCCCCCCTGAGGGCACCACAATGCTGATGCGGCCCTGGCACTTTGCGATAAATAAGTGGGTTTTGGGTTGTGGTTTGGGCACTTAGTCTGTAAAAGGTTTGCCATCACTGGCCTAGTGAAATTTCATGGTTCTCCCTGAAGTGAAGCAAGAAGAAATCACTTCCGAATTCCTTCACCCTGAACCACCAAAAATACTTTAGAAATCTAGAAACTGGAATTAAGTTCATACAACTTCACTGGATTACAGAGATGGGCTATTACTCACCTTTAATTAAAGCAACAATATACACACTAGTGGTAAGGCTAATAATTCCTTCAGATTCTTCAGACTCAATGTATTCCAATAATTCATTTAGGAAAGACCTGAATAAAATATGCATGAAATATACAGAAACATGAACCATACAGAAAATAAAGACAAAAAGATTAACTGTCAAAATATGAATTCAGGACCTTGCAGAATTTTTAGATTTTAGAACCTTTTATGAAGTCTTCATAAGACTGTTAAAGACTTTAGACATTTACTTCTATTATTATTATTATTTGCTCTCCTATTACTGCATTCAGCAACCTTCTGAAGCACAGTTCTTCCTCAAAAGACATTGCTTCCACCTTTAGCCTACAAGCCATAATATTTTCCTTTTTATGATCTCTACTGCTTCTTCTTCTTCTAAAATATATGAAAGAGGGGATGGGACAAAATAGAAGGCATTTTATTTCTAGAATTTAATTTCTGCTTTTGAAAAATATGGGGTTCTGGAATTGAGAATCACAAAATGAGCATGTCTCCAAAGACTAAAGGCTATATTCAGATGGAGGGAATAGCATTCCAGGTTTATTAACTGCACTGATGCTTTAGAAGCATCAAAAGTAAGTTTACAACATCCTTTCAATTAAAAAAAACTATATTAGAGAGAAAAAGAAAAAGTGAGGGAGCAAGAGAGAGAGAAATGACAGACACTCGCTGTTGTACTTAAACTGCCCTACCCAGAGTGCTCAGCTTTGAAGCATGACCTAATTGGCTGGAATAGTATCACAGATAATCTAAAAACTTGATAATGTTATCAACAGCTTATATTCCAGAGTATAGCAAATGGAGGTCTTTGTACAACTATAGAATCAATTATCCTGAAACATTGCTCTGTATTATTTCAAGGGTCCCTTTGCTTCCAATTTTCATGTTCAATGTAATAAAAAATGCTTGAATGTTTAAAATCTCTTGTTTTAGTAGCTAATGAATCTTTAATATAAACTACTACCAACACTACTAAATTGCAGCTCTTATTTTAAGAAAGGGCTACCTGCAAGTAGACTGCAATTATGAGATTCCAGAAGTATCTGTAGAATATATTCAATAGTTCAAAAAATAAAAATCCAACTCAAAACCGAGAACTGCATACAAGTTGGTCAATAGCACACCCACTGAGTATTAACTGCTCTAATTTTTCCTTTGCTTTGTCAAATCTTTTTTTCCTAATGCTAGAATTGAGTAATCACCCAAGAAGGTAGCACAAGAGGTCATCAACAGGGTATCAGATGAAGAAGACAAAATCTGTCCTTAGGACAGAAACAATACTGTGGGAAAACAGACAAATTGGATTAAGCATCCCCACCTAAAAGAGAGCTTACCTAACCACATTTGCTGATTTATTCATAACCGCCATTAAAACGCTGGAAAGTGGTGGGAGATCCAAGAATGTCTTAGGTGTTATTAGCTGTTCTGTATTTGATATCTAGAACAAAAGAAATATGAAAAAGTGCTTTTAGCAAATGAGAAATCAATAAATAGGAGAAGAACAATTGGCACTTGATATTACTTTCCTCAGTCTTTTATGGCTATTGAAATAGCTAAGATCTTGAAAGAGGAGGAGGAGGAGGAAGACAGGCAAATAACCACATTGGCCAGGGGTAGGCAACCTTGGCTCTTTTATGATTCGTGGACTTCAACTCCCAGAATTCCTGAGCCAACCATGCTGAGGGGAAAGGGAGAGGTTTCTAAGCTGAGCCATGCTGGCTCAGGAATTCTGGGAGTTGAAGTCCACCAGTCATAAAAGAGCCAAGGTTGCCTACGCCTGCCATAGGCAAAGAAATAACAGCAACAAAACAGCAGTTGTGCTTTCTGGAAGGCACATAACATCACCCCCATTTAAAGGCTAAAAGCTTGACTGACAGCTCAGAACCTGTTGTCCTGAGATTTTGGGGGAGTGGGGGGGGAGGCTTAGAGCCAGTCATTTTCTGCTCAGCCCCTTCATACCATCAGAAGCATTCTCAAAATATTCACTGAAGATTTATTTTCACAGCAGATGTACATTCAATAACAAGGACTATCTAAGAATTTGAGAGCCCTTATTTCTACAGGTGTAGAAAGAGATATGAAGGCAGATGGTGTTTTAGAAAAGTGTTT